AAACAGTCATAAAAATTGTTTTTAAAAAATTCAATTGCATTTTCAAATTTTTATGCATATCATCGACTAAAAAAAGTAATTGTCATAAAAATTAATTAATAATTCAAATTAATATAAAATACTGTAATATTAGACTTTAAAAATATCATATTTTTGTTACATTTTTTTTTTAATTTGTTACACAAGTTTTATTCAACAAAAAAATTTTGTTTTAATTGTGAAACTAATTATAATTATTATTATTATTATTATTAACAACAACTAAATTACCCGAAACTTTCACTGAGAGGAAAATGTCGGCCAAATCTGCCAACGCTTTCATCGCTTTTCTGATGATATTTTACTACTGGTTCAGAGGTATTGTCCTGTTTTTTGTACCCAAACCGCTGAGATTCAAGTCAATCGACGGCCAACTGGCAGTGATAACGGGTGGCGGTAGTGGACTGGGTCGGGCATTGGCCTTGAGATTTGCCCGACGCGGTGCCAACATTATTGTATGGGATGTCAACGAGTCGGGACTCAGGGAAACCGTACGACTAGTACAGGAGGACAGTCCCGGTGTAAAAGTCTATCACCAGGTGGTCGATGTTACCGATCGGACGAAAGTATACCAAACTGCTCGGGATATACAGCAATCAATCGGACGGGTAGACATAGTGGTCAACAATGCTGGCATAGTTAACGGTCGACCGCTGATGGACATACCCGACGATCGGATAGAGTTGACTATACGGGTGAATGCCGTAAGCCATTTTTGGACAGTCAAAGCTTTCCTGCCCGATATGATTGAACGAAATAGTGGCCATTTTGTATCGATAGCATCGGTAGCCGGCCAGATAGGTACCGTCAAATTGACCGATTATTGTGCATCAAAACATGCGGCCATCGGTTTCGAGGAATCCCTACGTATGGAGTTGTTATCGGCCGGTCTAACCGATATCCGGTCGACAGTCGTATTGCCATACTTTATGAACACCGGTATGTTTCACGGTTTCAAATCATCAATACTACCGGCACTGGACTATGAACTGGTAGCCGACTCAGTGGTCAGCGGTGTCCTATGCAACGATGAGTATGTAGTCGTACCGAAAATATGCTATACACTGAATACACTGAAAACTTTGATGCCCGTCCGGGCCTACTATAAACTGTATGAAGTAATGGGCGGCTATCAGGCAATGGAGGACTTTACCGGTCGGGATGGCCTGACAGCGGCCGATACTACCGCTAAACATACTAATAGTAATAATAATAGTATTAATAATAATAATAATAACAATCAGCGCCAAAAAGTTAACTAAATAACTACAGTAATAGTTAATAATAGTAATTATAATAATAATAATAATCAGCTCCGAAAAAAATATAGTTAACTAAATAACTAATTAATAATAATAATAATAACAATACTGTAATAATTATAATAATAATAATAATAATAATAATTACAAGTTAACTCAGTTTTTGATAAAAAAAATTTTTGATAACTTTTTTAAATAATAATAATTATAATTATAATATTATTAATTGTTTGTTTGTTGTAATCCAATTATAAACTGATTTTTATAAATTAATTGTAATATTATTTTTTTGAAAGGAAAATCTTTTTCATTTATTTTATTAATATAAATGTTTTGAAACTTTTTATTTTTTTTTAATATTAAACTTAAATATTGATTTTTTTGTTGGGTACTCATCATTTATTTTTTAAAAAAATAATTATCTAATATTATAATTATGAGCTTTTTTAGTCACTTTTATTTGGTATAATATTTGTTTGTTTTTTTAAATTCAATAATAATATTGATAATAATAATTTTTTAAATACAATTTATATATATATATATATAAAATAATTTTATTGCCATAATTACTATACTTATGTATGTTTATATTTATATATATTGATATAATATAATTTTTAATATTATATTCAAATAAATTTTTGTAATTAATTCAAAATAAATAAATTTTTAATAAATATGTTTTATAAAAAATAATACTAATTAAACTAATAATAAATTATTAATATGTGATTATTATTATTATTTATTGTTTGTGTTTTATTATTTTAAATCTAGTTTTTTAGTTAATTTAAAAAATAGATGTAATTTAATTTTTTTGTTGTAAATAAATATCTAAAAAAATGTATTATATTTTTAATGCTTATTGAATATATAATATTAATAATAATTGAATATATGATTTTAAAAATAAATAAATTTTGAGTAATTAAAATGAAAATTATCAAATATATAGTAATAAATTAATTTGTATTCAAAAACATTATACATTAATATTAATAAATATATAAAAATATTTTATAATAATATTAATTTATTGCCATATTTTAATAATAACTATTATAATAGTAAAACAAATAAAAAAGTTTTTATTGTCATAAATTCACACAAATTTTGTAATCATATATAAATATTTCTATAAAAAAAATAATAAAATATATATTTTCTTAAACAATAATTTTGCAATTTTGTACAGTATATTATGTAATATAAATAAATAATTAAAAGTAACTTTTAGTTTAAGTTAAATATTTCATATATATATATTTAATTTACAGTAAATTTTAATTTTTTTTTTAAAAACTAAGTAAATAAATAAATTAATGTAATTTAATATTTTGTAAAAAAATATATATTATATATAATTATATTTTAATACATAATAACTGTATTAGCTAATTTATATATCTATAATTTGTTTTTAATGTTATTTTTGTGTAATCAAGGTTATTTATAATATAATAATTTTTTGTTAATATAAATAAGGTTAAATAATATTTTTTTAAATATTATATTTTTATTTCAATGATTGAATAAATTATTTTTTTAAGCAATATTTTATTATACAATACATCTATTATATTTTGCTATACATATATTTTGTAATTTAATAAATATACTGTTTATTAGATAAGTAAATAACTTAATTTTTTAAAATGACCTTGTTCATTTTATTAATAAATAAATAAAATATTTAGTACATTTAATCTACTTATTTACTGTATTATCATCATTATTATAATTTACTGTATACTGATAACTACTAGTATAGTATATATATATAAAATAAATTAATAAAATATTTTTTTTATATAAAAATGTTTTATTATATACAGTATATATTGTTTGCAAAAAAAAATAAATATAAATCAAGCTCAAGGTTAGTCTAAAATATAACTAAAATTTTTATTTAGTTTTTAAGTTTTAATACTTAAAAAAATATATGTATTATTTAATTATTTAATATTTAGATTGTTTTATTAATCTAATAATAATAAATATTTATAAAACAGTTTGTTTATTAAATAGATTTTTCATATAAAAATATTTTTATTTTTTTTTGGATATAATTATAAATGTTATATATATATTAAACTTAAGTTTATATGTACTTAATTAATTAATTAATTATAAATAGAAAATTAGTTTAACCTATAAAATATTTATATCTAAAAAAATTGAAAAAATTATTTATAACCAAATTTATTTTTATAAACAATCAAATAATTTACAACAACAAAAAACTAATAAAAATATTTAAGTTTTTTTCTATTAATTATGAAATTAATATAATATTATATACAGTATATAAACTATTAGTATATATATATATATATATAAATTTATTATTATTACTATTTAATAATAAACTTAATACTGTTTAATATGATAAAAGTGTATATGTTTTCTTATAATATTTTACCTAAAAAAATAATAATAATTATATTAATAATTAAATGATTAAACATAGCTTAATATTATTATTGTAAATAAAAAAAAATAGTAATAAATAGTAATAAGATAAGTAAAAAAAAATTAGCTATAAATATATTTTAATTAATTATAAGTGCATAAATTTTTTTTGATGTACTTTTATACTATTTATAAATGTGAGAATAAATAAAAAAAAATTAAAACTTAAAAAATAAATTATTATTATTAGTAAAAAAATATATAATACAACAATACTATTGTTTATAAAAAAAACTTAAAACTTAAAAAAATAATTATTATAGACTTATATATACTTATAATAATTGCTATTATTACTGTAATATTTTTAATTAAATTATATTAAATTAAAGTTAATTAAAGTAATAATAATAAAAAATAAATGTGATAATATTTATATTTTTTAGTTAGTAAACAATATACTAAATAACTGTATTATAAATAGTAAAAATTAATTTTTAAAATACAGCAAAAAAAATGACTGAATTTTCATCAAATAAGTTATTGCCTGAAAATATGGCCTACAAATGGTCGGCCTATCATTTATACCGAATCGGCTTAAGTAACCATCGATTAGTAGCCGATGATTGTTGTCCTCAACAGAGACTATGGTTTAATCGACTGATAATTATATCAATTGTTTGTTTAGTCTATATTATTGAACGTATAATATGTATGTTTTTCATTGACGATACAGTAGTAGACAATTGGCTATTGTTTGCACTGTTAGGCGATTGGTCATACTTTTGGGGCGATAGACTAATAATTAATTTATGTTTCCTATTATTTGCCTTAAAAATCCTATTATTGGTATTAATTTATTCATATAATACTAACCGGGATATTGAACCCAAATTTTTACGGGTATTTGAAATGATGTCCGGTTTACGTACACCCCTTTCGGTTGGTCTAACCGACCCCCAGGAGATACATAAGCTTATCCAATGGATGCGTTGGTCAAGTAATTTAGTTCAGTTTAATATTAAATTTATGGCACCTGTATTAAGTCTATTTGTCTACCTGTTTAGCTATCTATACATTGGTGACCATCTATTAGTGGTAATCCTTATAGGACTACCCAATGCCCTGTTTCTAACCCTATGTAGCAATTATTACTGGAATATACTAACCTATCAATTGATTTATTTCCATATAATGTGTCGGTATTTAAAGCTCCGACACCGGGAACTATTGAAACAATTAGTTAAACAACTGATTAATGTTAATAATAATAATAATAATAATTTGCAGAAAACTAATAACAATACAAATAATAATAATACTAAACGTATTCAACTAATTATGAAATCAATGGACAAATTATTTGCCGATATCTCCGACTATAACCTAACGTATTGGTCAAAAATTTTGCTAATAATTTGGCTAACATTTGGTACGGCTATTGTTATATTTTTATATAGTTTATTGTTTATTGAAATGAATTATTATATAAAATCTATGTTAACATATGTTTTGTTTAATATGATTATATTATTTTTATTTATTATATTAACGGCATCGTCGGTCAACACCTGTATTCAAACTACTTATAAATTATTATTTCAATTAATATTGAATTTATAATTAATTAATTAAATTATAAATTAAATTTTTTATTAACAATATTTTCTACTGTATATTATATATAAACGGTTTACTACTTAACGTATAATTTAATAATAATAACTAAACAGTAAAACATTTGGCCCTATATTTCATACAATTATTGTTAAATATATATATATATATATATATATATATACTGTTTGTTGCATTTGAAAATTTATAAAAAAATTTTATTTAATGTTTTTTTTAAATTTTAATTATTAATTAGTTGACTGAGTGTTAGTGAAAAAGTTAATTTATTAATAAAATAATTTATTATGTTTTTTATAAATTTTTTTATTGTACTAAATAAATATAAAAATTAACTATTATTATTGAAATATTAAATATTATAACTTATTCATGTACATTTAAACTAGTTATTACTTAGTTATTAATTATATACAAAAAAATATTATGTTAAAATTTTTTTATAAAACAACATAATTATTTATATAAAGTTTAAACATATATAAAACAATTTGTTTAAATATTATACAGTACATATAATTTATTAATTAGTATAGAAATTAATTAATTAATAATATTATTATTATTATATTTCACATTATAATTAACGAAAATAATAATTTAATTAACTTTTATTAATTATTATAATATATAATATAAATTTATCTATTAATTTTGTTATCCAATAATAACAGTTTTGAGTATAATTTTAAAATCAATAATATAATACATTTATTTAATAATAATAATATAATAAAATTTAATGTATATATATATACAGTATATACTGTACTAAATAAAATATAATTAGTCAACTATAGACATTAAAATATAATATTATAATTTATTGCAAAACAATAATAACTGTTAATAATTGTTTGCTAATTGAATATTTAGTTTTTAAATGATAATTATAGACTAAAACTCAATTAATATTATAATTAATTTAATTAATTTAAAAAATACATTTACTATCTATTAGATTAATGCATTACATAAATACAGTTTCATAAAATTATAT